ACTGAGAATGTGTCTTTCCATCTGAGAATGTTGGGTGGTATGCATATAAAACAGCAGTCAAGGCTTCTCAGAGTAAATGATCAAAAACCTAAGGAAAACTTTGACGACAGGTTCCTCTGATAATTTGGTGCCAGAGGATTCTGAAGAACCTTCTAATCATGCTTACATGTACAACTATTAAAGATCTAACCGGTAGTGACTGCCCCTCACCCTATCAGAATCTAAACCCCTCTGTCCTTTTTGGTTAGAGATGTATATACACACACTAAGAAAAAAGTTAACCATCAAATGTGCCAAACCTGTGATCCATCTTCTACACAGTATATTGTATTGGTTATAAAGTAGTGGTGAATATAAGACACTTGTCTGATTACACATAATTATGCAAAATGGTTAAAGGGGCATCTCTTTTGCCGACATACTTTTGCACAAAAAAAAAAAACTTTGATATATACCTTAAATTGTAAAATCTGACAGTCCAGTTCTGGGGCCTGTAGGGCTATCTCCCACTTCTTGGCTATGGAAAATATTTATGCCATGTCAAGCCTTGTGCCTCAGTAAGCCATTAGAGCCCCTATATTGCCACAACTACCAGAAAGCCATTTTTATAGCTGCCTTCCAGGCTATGCAGTCAAATCATATGCAGAGGCATGGGTTGACAAGTGTTTACTTTAGAATCCTAATTTAAAAGTTATTAACCTGTCCATTGGGGAAAGTATTGGTTGTTTTTGTAGCCTATTCCTTCTACCCTATGATCTGCTATGGTTACCATCCAGAGCCCTTGGAAATGTCCAGCATATACAGGCATAGGTAGGAATGTCACTACTTCCCTGCGCCTCAAACCAGGTATTCAACAGGCCCAAAAACTGTCACATGGGGATCTGAGACATTCCTTTACCCATTTTGAGTTTGCACAGGGCTTTCCATTTTGGGATAGAAAGTGGGCTGCATAGGTTCACTTTATATATACTCAGATTTAAAGATTAACCTTTTCACGATTACAGCTAAGGGTTGCCATTGCTGAAAATGAAACATTCCTGCCCAGTTCAAGTCATTAACCTGAAGTTAAAAGTTCACCATTTGAGTGGCCAAGAGATTTGAAGCAGGAGTGTCATCCCAACACCCAGGTAACTAGCTTTTTCTGCAGGCCATTTACAGAAATGACATCCTTTGTTCTTAAACAATTTTCTTTTAGCACACCCTATGAGAGCTGGCAGATTTATAGGTCACCATGGACATAATTGGCAGATTCAGAAATAAAAGTGCATAAACAGGATTGTTCAGGCAAAGCCTAAATGCATGTTTGTATCATTCAACCATCTAATTCCTACAGCAAGATTAACTGTGCCTGTAGAAGAGCAGATGTCTCAAGCAGGGAGACATCTGCTGGTCTTTGACATCACCATCTACCTTGTAACTCAATACTGGTCTAGCCTATGAAGCAATCAGTACAATCTCAGCCCCAGCACCACTGTACTTTTTGATTCCTACTGCAGGTAGCCAACATGGGCTGTGCCCCACCTCACCTCTTAGGCAAGCAGTAAAGGATCAAGCAACCAGTGGGGTTTAAAAGGAAGTGGGTAGTAAAGTTTGCAAAATATTGCCAGCATAGTGGACAATTTTTTCTGTGCATCAAAAATTGTTGTATTTTACCATTTACAGACTGCATTGTACTAGAAAGTAGCATTGGTCCAGTTAACCATTATGCACATGTATGTTTAGCAAACTACATTCCAACCATTGCAATCTTAAGTGCAATGAGTTGCTTTGAACACATTTGGCACTCATGCAATTAAGCATGTCTCTTGGTAGAATGTGCTAATCATTGACAACCTCCAACATGCAGACACATTTGTACAGTGAATTCTCAAAGAGCACTGTAAATAAACACCTACACCATGCAATAGTCACAAGTGATATTGTAGTGTCATTGCTTGCATGCATCAGGCTGGTTTATTGAGGTCTTTAAAGTACCATTCAATTCTATTATGGGAATGTCAGTCACTGCCAAGCTGAAAGTTCATGTTCCAGATTGGTCCTTTACTCCCATCACTGATGACCAAGCAGGTGCTTTTAAGGCATCAGGACAATGGATATTAGACATGTGCACCAGCAAAAAATCGTTTAGTTTTGAGAAAAAAAAAAATCCGTTAGTTTCGTTTTTCGGGTCCGAAATTAAATTAGTTTCGGACGAAATTTGTTAGTGGTAGTCCTGCCGAAATTAGTTTATGAAAACAAAAAAAACTTTACTCTCCCATGGCTGGATTTGAACCAGCGAACTTCACAATGGCAATCAATTGCAAGCCTGTACCTCTATCCACCACTCTATAGCCTCTGTACTTTAAGTATAGAAGCATTTGATATATACAACTGCAATGTGTAGCAGTTGACAGCTGAGGATGTCAAATGGGCGGAGCAAGCCGTGATGTCATGGCTCGCTCCGCCCATCTGTTGACTTTCAAACTGAATGTCATTTGTTAGTTTGTCAGATTCGGGTGGTCGTCTGTGGCGGGACTTTTTATTTCGGCGGGGGTGCTGCATCCTGATCCTGACTCTGGATTACATCGATGGAGCCATTTTTTTTTTTCATTTTTTTATTAAAGGAAGTCAAAAATTGACTGTTTTTTTCAATTAAAGGATTTTGTCAAAAGTCTGGACTTTATTTATCTCTTTAGTGAATGGGTAGGGGTACAAGTACCCCTTACTCATTCACATGGGGCAGCATCTGGGTGCCCTTATTTAAAGGAGTACCCCGATGCAAATAAGCTCCCTTGCCCGCAGACCCCCACAACCACCGGGTCAGGGTTGTGGGGAAGAGGCCCTTGTCCCCATCGGCACGGGGACACCCTCCCAATGCCGATGGCACGTGGCCTGGTAAGGCGCAGAGAGGGGGCCGCTCGATTGTGCCCCCCTGCCCTGCCAGGCTTGTGCTCGGATCAAGGGTCTGGTAGGACTGTAGGGGACCCCACGTTTTTCCCCCCATTTTTTTGGGCTGGGGTCCCTTTACAATTCCTACCAGACCTTAAGGGTCTGGTATGGATTTTGGGGGAACCCCACGCACTTTTTTTGTGTTATAAGGAGGGGTGCCCTCCTAACATTCCTACCAGACCTAAAGGGTCTGGTATGAATTGGGGGGGGGGAACCTCACGCTTTTTTTTTCCATCTTCTGCAGACTGTAAAAAAAATAATAATTTTGCTGCAACAGAATTCGTCCAATAACGAATTTCATTGCGTCAAAATGACATTAAGGGGAACAAAAATTACTGTCTGCAGAAGATGAAAAAAAAAGCCTGAGGATCCCCCCCCCCAATTCATACCAGACCCTTAGGTCTGGTAGGTCTGTTAGGAGAATGCCAATTCAAAAGCAAAGGAAAAAACAAAAAGAACTTTAAATTAAATATTAGTTGACTTGCCGGGATTTGAACCTGCAACCTTAGCTATGGCAAGCCTGAATTTCCGAAAATTCGTCCGAAACGAAACGAACCGAAATCGCACATGTCTAATGGATATGAACTCTGCTCCGAGCCTTACTCACCCATTTAAGTGCAAGGATTATAGCCCCAGAGCCTACATCTCCAAAAAAATGGGATAACCATATTTCTATCCTGGCCTATTCCTTAAAAATGTTAACCTTTACAGATCCTTGAAAAGATAGCCCAGCTAACATTTAATGTGCAAGAGCACCATTACTTTTGAATGCCTGCAGTGGCTAGCAATGCTAATTTCCTGCATCCTACTTTGGACCTCATGCTCTCCAGTGATGGCTGCCCATATGTGCACAGGGGTGGTGAATGATCCTCCATAAGCAACACAGGTAGATCATGCAGGGGAACAATTGTGAGACCGATACCACCATAAAGAGGGCTTGCACCAGGATCTTACTGGCAGGGTTGCCAGATATTTTAATATAAGCTGCAGACCAAAAAAAATAAAAAAAATAAAGGCTTACATTAAGTACTGGACATTTTCTGCCCAAGCTTCGCAATCATTGAAGTTGCCAAAGGGAAGTTTAAACCTCAAAGTTCATTCAGCTCAGGGTGGTAGGGCAGGATGCATTTGCTCCATGTACTCTTCCAAAAGTGGGTCCACCATAGGACTCCATTGTGGATTCTCTTCCTCCCCATATTTCCAGGTGGCATGCATCAGATAGCACCAGTGGATTACTAAAACATTGAATGGGCAGTCTAGTTTGGCACCACATAAGTGATCCAAGTGGCACCCATGCTATTAAGGTGGCATCAAAACACCTCCATTCATTGCAAAGTTTGTTTTTCTCACAATTTCCAGAATTTGCCAAGTTAGTCCCTTCAGCCAATGGTGGTATGGTGGTATGGTGGTATGGTGGTTTCATACATTTTCATGATGCCTAGTCAGTTTTTACAGACTTTAAATACAAATTTGTGTTTTACTGGCCCATTTGTGATAATTTTTAGGCATTCTAAATCTGGACTCATTCTTTACAACTGCAGCAGCAAATTGTTTAGACCCGCTATTAATAAAATAGGACAGCGGGCTCAACTGTACACTAGATTTAACCATTCAAATGAAGTCCATTGCCCAGGAGGTTATTCATATGCTGTAGTGTTGATAGAACTGCCAGCACATCAATTACCCTGAAGGATTACACACAAGTGCCGCCAACAAAAAAGTATGGCGGCACACCATAACCCACACAAATCCATGCACATTGCATCACGCACAGTCAGATATTACGCAGAGACAAAGCCATTTTTAATCCTCAATTTTATTACCAAAAAAGGTTCTTAAAAGTACATGTTATTGAGGATGATCATTTCAAGCTGAAAGAAAACAAAAAACAAAAGTACAATTACACAAGTGAATATCATTCTACATTTATAGTCTACTACTGGAAAGGGTCTGTAATCTCTGAACTCTTTCAAGAGGGGATAAAAGGCACCCCTCCGAGTGTCCTGCACAGCAACCATCAAACGGTCACACCATCTTTGGAGCACCCGGCAAAATAAAACTGCTCCCATACAAATCAGGGATGTGCGGTGAGGGGAGGCAGAGCCTCACCTAGAATTGGAGGGGGGAAAAAAAAAACCGCTCAGCTTCGTGTCTGAAGCTGCCAGCTTTTTCTCCATTCAGATTGGCATCTAACAGGTTACAGCAGGGAATCCTCCCCACTGTGTAAGCCGTCATGGACGGAGTGCCTCAGTGAGGAGCAAGTGGGGACAGTGAGGCCCCTCCCCGTCTTCTTCACACTAGCTTGGGGACAGGGCTTCGTCCAGTGGGGCGGGGTTTTGGCCAGCAAGGGGTGGGGCATGCCGAAGCAAGACATACCGCACGTCACTGATACAAATGCATTTTCAGGTTGCAGCACAATGCCAAGTTTTCACCAGCAGGTGGTACTAGATAAACTTCAGGCCAATTTTATTTTTTATATTGCATGCAGTTCTACCCCTTCACATCCCCAACCTTGCCCATTCTGGAACATGCATGTGCTCCATAAAAAAATTAAAGCATGCATTGAGGCAACTGTCATGGCTTAAGTTACTTTGATGGGTTTTCAAGGTATACCCCCCCAACCACCACAATTGGTTTCCAAAATTTTAAATAGGTTTTTAAAAATTGTGATCTCAATCTCTAGGGGTACACCAAGAAATAACAGATGCTCTAGTGGCCATTGACTGGCTAAGTCAAAACAAAGTAGATTTTGGATGTGGCTTCTGTTTGATTGAATTACAGGTTCTGATATCAAATGTCCGTGGAACCACTAACACATGACAAGTGTTTTACCCTTACTTTTAGATAAACTTTAACTGGGAACTCAGATGTAGGCCAAATAGGTAAACATGATCTGCCAACATCCACCTAAAACTGAAGGCTCCCGGTTTGTACACTGTATGATGCTTCTGGGCCAGAAAAATCAGCAAGACCACCAAATGGCAGAGATGATTAACTGGGGTGGAACAGCAAGACCAATTGTTTGCCATGCATGTTTTGAACCCTCTGGAAATATGCGCTAAACCCCAGCCTTTGCAAATACAGTCAAAAACTCAATTTGAGGGCCATTTCTGCCAGGCCTTGGGGTAGAAAGTTCTAGATAAATTCTGTAGATGGCAACTTACACTGTACAGCATATGACTCAACCGTTGATGCCAGCAGGAAGACTGCTCTGGATGAAATGGAGCGAAAGTTATCTCCAGTGTTGACACTTCTCCCTGGAATGATGGGAAAACATTCATATTACGCCACCATAAAGAAAATGGGAGCCTCATCCACAGTGTAATAAGCTTGTTAGACCGCTCCTAAAACTGAGCAATTCTGAATGCTGGTTTAGGAATGTGATTATCCACTATTGTGGCCCAAGAGGCATCTGCAGACTACGGTTCACAAAAAGTGACCGGCTGCCACACCGTTGCTTCCATACTTTGATTTACTGAACTAAGGAAGCATGTCACTTCTGCATGCAAGTAAAGCTTATAAAAATGGTAAATGCAGACCTGGAATAAGCAGAGGTCAGCAATGCAAGCATGCATACTGTACAAGCTAAGGTTCCCGTCATGCATGCTTAGAACTTATCCATTTGGCAAAACAGCGAGGAGTCGTTTTGGTTCAAGACCCCAAAAATTATAGTGCAGATGTTAGATCTTTGGTTTCATGTATGGTACCTTTATGGCCAATCCAAGGTGCCTGCATACCCACCTACAACAGGACATGGAACTGAACCATGTCTAAGCACCACATTCAATCATTCTCAATAAAATGTCCTCTACAGGTAAGCCTAGCCATGTAAAGCAATCACTGAAGACCTTTCAGTGACAGCATATATAAATATACCTGTACCAAGAATTACATTAGTCCTAGGGTCTGGACTGCTGCAGCTGTGCTTACCCATTCTCTGCTTTGCTGGGATGCATGATCCAATTCCACTGCATACTAGATCAGCAGACAGGTTTGAAGCGTCACATACAATCACATCACAGTGGAAATAGATCTAGAAGACAAGTTAATGAAGTCATTTTCTGTCACATCCACACAGGTTTTCCCATATCCCTCCATTGAATGTACTTACTGCTCCAGTATAAGGTTTGTCGGCTTCCATGAAGTTAAATGTTTTAACTTCGAACCTCTTGAAGTGTGATGGAAATTTAACTCTGGAATCTGCAGTCACGGTGCGGAAGACTGTCTGGTATTGCTCCCCATATTCACAACTGAAAACAAAGCAGTGCATGATGCCATTGTGATCATAACTTGTGCTCCTTAATTAAATTACACCTCTTAAGGAATGGGGTCCTAGTCTGTCCCTTTGATAGTTTCTTTGGTGTAAAGCATGGGGCCACACTTGTCAGTATACATTGACACACTGGTACCATTAACATGCTGTAAACCAGTACTCTCAAACTACAGCTAGCTACCATAACTAGCCTGTGTAATAAGGCCCTGCATGCAGGCTCAGATTGCAAGCCAACAGCAGAGGCCTGCCAATTGCAGTGGGTGACAGACTTGAAATGCATAGCATTCCAGCAGTCCGATACTGGCTCTACCAGGCAGACCGATTTCCTGCCCAATCTGACATGTATAGCCCCAGCCATGACCGAATGAATGGTATTGAGGCATGGAGTCTGCAAGGTGAATAGTAACCACCAGTGAGGCTACATTCCCTCAACTGACCACTGTATATGATTCACCATTATACTGACCACCAACCCTGGGGCAATACAGCCACTGACCAGATGCCAGGGCTTTTAGCCCACTGACATATATAGTTTAGACAGAATCCTACTGGCCAGCCTGCCCTGAACAGTCTGACAGCAAACTGGCCCTTTGTATAAGAAGTTTAAGGACCCCTGTTCTAAAAACCACACAGACCTACATAGGATCAAAGGATGCACATTGCACAAACAGCTAATTTCAGGATCAGGTTAAATAGGCAAGTTTCACCTGTTGGTGACAATGAGCCAGGAGGGTGAACTGTTCATTTCGGGAGATGTTGTAGCCCAGCAGGTGTCCAGGAAGAGTTCTAGCTGCGAGTCTGAACTGTACAGGAGCTCAACTTCAAAATACAAGGGTTCCCTCAGGTACTTTACAACAGGATAGTCTGCATCTCCATAGAAGTCTTTGTAGGCAATATCTAAAGGAGCAAAGAATTGTTTATTCCCCAATTTCCAGGAATCCAAGCATTGATGTAGATATTAGCACACGAAGGTATACCATTAATCTAAATGGTTAAGTGCAGAGTGAGCAAGTGAATGCCCTGACCACAGATGTGTAAAGTGTACAGCACACACTACTCTCACTAATGCATGCAAGGTGTGCTGTACTCATACAAAGTGTTTTGGGGCACTTACCAAAAAAGCAATAGTAGCAAGTGCCAGTAGGCATATACCCCAGAAGCTAGGCCACCCAAAACCTACAGTTTGTAAACAAGCAAGTTTCTGACATAGTCTTCTATAGGTCCACCAGATTTGCTAGTTCCTTCCAGGTGGCACATTACATGAGAAATGTTGCCCCATGTATGCAGCTGATCCCAATGATCAAAACAAAAATTGTATATTGCAGCTTACCAGTCCTACAAAGTGGCATCTACAATCTCCCTCAACCCCCGTCTCCTACCCCTTTATTTTAACCTTGTGATGTCACCAGTAACCCTTCTGTCCTAGTTCAGACGCAACCCATATTGAATCTATGGTGGAGCAGTGTTTACAGAACTACTCAACATCTCCCTTCATGGGGAGGGTTATAATCCAGTGAGCTAAAATACATGTGGATATTGAAATGCAGCAGAGCACATGACCATAAGTTCACCATTTCTGGCAGATCAGTTTTGCATTTACCACATACTTAAGTGGAACTTGGGCAAAAATACAGACCGCTGGTGATGAATTCATCAAGCATTCCATGCTGATTTTAAACAGCATCATGGCACATTCAATGCAAACTTTGAAGTTCCAATGCCTTACCTTTACTCAGCCTCAAAACCAAGACTAGTGATGCCATTGCTGACACTGCACTAGGTGTTGGGTTGTTCTCATAACCATATTCTGCCACAATGGTACCATTAGTTGTGTAGTTGCAGGTGACATTCATTCTGCAAAATGTAATTAACTGGTTAGACAAAGCATTTTAGATTATAGAGTTCTTAAATGGAGCCATTAAGGGAATGTTTCCCACATCTTTAATACATTATATAAGATTTACTCTACCAGCAGGTAGCAAGAGTCTGGTACTTGAGGGTTTCAGGAAGCAGTCTACTGCAGTGCAGCACAGGTCGCTTACCTGTTTCTATGGAGTGTTCCAGAAAGTGTAATGCTTTCTTGGGAGAATCTGCTGCTGGCGGCAATGAACCAGCAGCAGAATCCACCAAGTGGCCATTGCCCTAACACCAATGTTAAGTTGCTGCTGGAGCATAGGTCCTCCAAAGTTCATATAAGTCTACAGGATGTGCACAGTGCAGGGAGAGTGCACATACGCTTTTTTTTAATTTTTAAGTTTAGTTTAACCCCTTGGCTTACACAAGAAAAAACCCTACCACAGAGCAAGGTAGTGCCAGGTCAGTACCTGTAAGAGTTGGCAAGCTTTGCTATACAGTATGCAATGTAACCTTTGAGTATGTGATACTCCCACAAATTCCAATTGTATACCTAGTGTGACTTACCATGTCATCTTAAGGGGGTACTTCACGTTACTGGTACCCCCAAATTGAAATTAAAAAGTCAGTTTATATGCTCAGTTGGTTCAATGCTGCAAACACTTTAAACAGCACAATACCCAACTCTGTCATAGGTATCATTTGGTATATGTACACAATGCTGCTGCTATGGTCAGCCTCAGCAAGCATTCCAAACATGAGCAGCCATGTTTGTCAGGATTTAGGAACTGCCCAGTTAACGCCAACACAGAACCCCTGCAACATTAGGTAAAAATATTCCATTAAAAAAAAAATCTTACATAAAGAGTGGATTTCCAGATGCACTGTAGTAGGCGATCTCATTGTGATACATCATGAGGTTGTCTACAAACTAGAGGGAAAGAGACTGAATTACATAGAGTTCTTGAAGCAGCTGGACTTTTCAAAACCATTGGCGACACCTTATTTAAAGAGTTACCAGAATGCTAGACACATGCAATCATTTCTTGCCATGTTGTGCCCCATGATTTTACATCTATAAAAAGTAAAAGGTGCCCATACACTGCACAATTCTCGTACGAGAATCGCAGGAAATCCCCGTGATCGTACAGTGTATGGAAGGCGTGCGACCGTTTCTACTGTACGGTCGTATGTCTTCCCATCGAACCAGCATGCTAGAAAGCCTGACCGGGAATTGTACGATTCTCGGCGAGTTAGTGGCCTGCTGGTTCGACAACTGCCGAACGGGCCGGTGTGCGCACACTGCCTGTTTGCCGTCCTTGCAAGCCTGCCCCTCATTGCAGTCATCGCAAGCCTGCCCCTCAAGGGGGCAGGCTTGCGATGATCACAAGTACGATCTGCCTGTCCAAGATGGGCAGATCGTACGGTTTTTTTAAAGTACTTTACAACCCTGGCAAGACAAAAGTCTTGCCAGGGTTGTAAAGTGTATGGGCACCTTAAGACTTGTTACACCCTTCAATAACCCCCACCCTAGATTAAAAAAAGACCATTAGGGGTTTTGTGGTCCTTAAAAAGTAAAGGGTCACTGTAGAAGCAGTATGTTAATATGAGTTATAGCTCATCTATGGCTATATATGGCTACCCAACTCCAGGTAATATGAAAGTAATGCGCTTTTGCCAGGTGATATTAGGTACAGTTGGCTGTTCCAGCTAATGTTATTCATCCAGTCTTCCTAGTAGACTGTAAACCCAAAAGTTGCCTGGAACCAGGCAATGTTTAAGTACTCCTTATACATCAAGTTTGAAAGATATCAAGCCATAGACTACACTGCTCAAATTTTGGCAGGACTACCTCCCATTAGGGGGATTCAAGCTGCCCATAGACTGCTCAAATGTCACAGTAAAAATAATAAGTGTCACATGGGTTCTAACCCCTCACCAACCAAATCTAAATGTGGCTGTAGGTGCTCCCCGCTCATCCCTGGCATTGTACTGACCGGCCAATAAAGTCAGATAGCTGCTCAGTAGACATTTGAAGTTCCATACCGTTCTTGAAGTTCTACAGGAGCTTGCATAGAATGAGAAGTAGGCGTTGTTTGTGTCAAACCTAGCCGGCTGACAGGCTGCATCCCTCAGTCTTAGCAGAGACATGTCCATATCTGGTATATTGACGACTTTCTTCACTGTCACCTGAATGATTCCTTCAGGGAGGCAAACTAGAGGCAAACATTGGAAGTGTTAAAAGTTCATAGAAATCTGTATATTCTTCCCAATCTGTTCAGCAGAATGGTAATGTTTAGTTGATCTTCCCCATCTTCATTTCTGATCCTGGCATTTCAGGGTACAAAATCTTTGTAAACAGTTTATGGGCTGGATGTTTGTAAATCCAGAATAAAAGTTTCCCATCTAGGATACCATCCAAACCTGGGACTATGGTTTTGTATTTCATGCTAAAGCTGGCCATAGACAGGCTAGTCTTAATATCAGTGCAGACAATCCAGCAGCTTTCAGATACAGCTAGGAAGTGATTGAGGGTGCAATTCTCAGCATGCAACATATACAAAACTGGGTAAAATGAGCAGCAAGCCTGTAATGAGCTTGCATTGTTTTAACTGTATGAAATCCTCAATTTACATCTCAGAACACTCAAGTAAAATCTAAGTACACAATTGATCATTTTAAAATTTACCATCTTAATGTTCCAAAGAGAAAGTTTTACCAAGTGAAAAGTATTTAGTAGAATCAACTCAAAAATGAGATCACACCCCTTGTCAAGCACTTTTTCTCCATTTGCTACACTTACAGTCCCTCCTAGTTCTGCTGTGCAGCAGGTTACACGGAGGCCAACTACTAGTCAACTTAAGGTTGAATCAGAATCTACCATTTGGCTTCAATATATACCTGCATTCATTGTGGACCTGCCCAGGCCAACAAGCCCTTTACCCATTAGATTGAATGTACAGAAATATTATATGCCAATACTAGCAAGGAGGTGCATGGTGATGTTTTAGCCACTATGGATTAGTTGAGGATGGCCTCCAAAGTACCCTGAACCAAAAAGCAGAGATCCCGATATGCATGCCTACATTAGACTCAGGTCACAATAGCAAAGCACATGTTGCATTTTCATGACCATGCATGGTTTGTTTGAAGTGTTAAGCTGGTCATACACCTCACAATTATCTGCAGCTTTTGTGCTCAGATGGAAAAGGTGCAACAGATTCCTCCATCTACACTTAACTGTGTGCATGGAGTAATCTCCACCTGGGCCAATCTGTTGCACATTTTCCATCTGACCACAGAAAATCTGCAGATAATTGTAAGGTGTATGGGCATCTTTTGTGTAACCAAACAACTGACCATTAGCATATCAACAAAGTTTTGAAAACTGTAAGATTTCAAAGATTGTTTGAGACAAGCCATCTGACCCTCTACTGCAATATATTTTGGAAGCAAAAAACAGCAACCGCCCCCATTAACCCAGAGCCTTACCAACTGGGCTTGGTGTGATGTCACAATTAATGGCAAAAGAATAAACTGTGGCTCCAGTGCCATCTTTGATATTTAGTGGGACTACAGCCGATACACCAGCTCCAGATGCCTGAAAATAAAAATAAATTTTAAAAGGCATCTTTCATTGCATAAAAGTAGTTGGTCACTTAATTCATATGCGATTGGGATGGATAGTGAGGATACTTGTTCTGCCAGAGATGAGCATCCTAACCAGCACCAGAGACTGCTACCACCAACTCCCAGAAACCATGCTCGTTCTGCTACATAACACATCCCTGCGATAGACAGTAAAGTGGGTGCTACACTGTCAGAAGTCCCCCAGCACTGAAGGATCCTTCAATTGTAAATAGCCATGCTGATGTCTTAACCTCCTAGTAATGCTGCAAAATCAGGCCAAACATATCACACAGACCTCATCTCTCCCATACAAAGATCAGGGTTGTAAACACGCTAGCCAAGTCCATCTAAAATTAGGCTGATTTAGCAGGCAGAGTTAGCCATTCATTTACCATTTTAGGAAATCCTGCAGGAATCTGATCATTTAAACTGTTGCCACCAAACACTAGGCACACCATTATAAAATGAAGTTAAATGCACCACGGGGTGGTGCCTCCTGAAGGTCCTAGTTTGTGTGGAAATGAACCCAAGAACAGATTTCAGCACTCAACTCTTCCATCACTAACAAAGTGGGGTTCAATACCTGGAGAAATCATTCATGGATTCCCAAGTTAGATGGTCTTCATAAACATTTATGAAGCCTAAATGGCACTGCCCAAATAAGTTGCAAGTCATAGGACCTCTGGACTACATACTCATGTCCATGTTTTAAAAGCACTAGAATTACAAAACCATTGACATGTCAGAAGTTTAGTATGTTCTACCTCTAACATACAACTCTAAATTTTAAAGCATAGTGTGAGCCCTGCCTACTTCACTTCTGTCACTTTGAATGGTATAGATTTTGTAGCCCAAAAAGTAAAGTTCACTGTTGTGGTTACACACTAGAACAGAATGCATTCGAATATTAAATCTCAGGAAGTTGAGTAGCCATGTCCAAAATTCAGAGGACAACTTAAAGCTTACCTCATACATGATCAGATCAGACTGTGCAGGGATCTGAACTGTAAGATTCTGATTGGTTCCCACAGGTAACGAACTGCTGGTTGTCACCAGTGTATTCTGAATGTACACATTCCAGTTTTGATTGATGTTAGCAACGGCAATAGTAAATTGGGAGTCTTTTTGGCCACAGGGTCCCACAATAGGATGGGCTAGAGTCCGCAACAAAAAGGTTACATTATAAAGTGGTCCTACACATCAGGTGGATATTTACTGATTCACTCTGGCCGCTTTTATACGAGAGCTTTTAACTTCCATAGAAGCAAAATTTGCACTTCATGGTTAATCCTGCAGTGAGCGCTATGGAAAAGTGTGTTCTCTTATTAAAAGTCTAGTGCCCTGGTTTGTCATGCGAGCCAATCGTTTATGTACCGAGTCACTGGCAGGGAAAATGTGCAGGTCAACTTCCCGTTTGCTTGTTCCAGGCTAGTGACTCAAATACTAAAGCCACAGCCAGGCAGTTCGCATTTTCAGAACATCTCATTCAGAACATCTCATTTCCCACAGAGGAGTTACCTCGCGCTACTACAGTAGCTTGAAGAAATGGGGGCTCCATGTCTGCACATTCCCCCAACTTCTCTACGGTCCCTGGGGTTTTGAGAGACATCTAATGTTACACCATAACTTGGAAGTCTGGTCTGGAGATTCTTTATGAAAAGGTTGGCCATTTCAACTAACCAGTGGCAGGTATAGAAACAGGCTCTTGCAAGCAGGCCAAGTTACTGCAGACCAGTCCGTTCTGTTAGAGCTGGGACACCCCTTTGATATGGATAACATGACAATGTGCATTAAGAGCATCATAGCAAAGACAAAATCCAAAGCCTTTCATTACTTACGCATAAAGCATTCAATGGTAGCAGGGGTAGTGAAGGTCTCACCATATGGAATGATATTGAACCCAAACGTCAGGTTTAGGGTGAAAAGCACACCATCTGGAAGAATCTAAATAAAAAAAAAAATATAAAATCATAACTTTGCATTTCAATCTTTTCCCAACCCAAAGAGCTTCCATTGTTACCCTAGTTCCTTTCCTCAACACAAAATAGAACAAATCTAAAACTCCCAATTCAGCAGAGGGAGGGCCTGGATGGAATTGAACCCTTTACTCATGGAACTCAAACACTCCATGACAGTCAGCACATCCAGTTTTGTCATCTCTAATCTTTACATTCATGCAGAATGTGACTTGCCATGTCTTACAGCATGTGGCGTACCCACAGCAGCATGCATATGCTTGGCATCCATTCTACAGACTGCGTTTGTTATGCATGACCTGTGCAGTGCCATTTTTAAGACCGCCTTGGCACCTCAAAACAAAAAGTAGGTACTCTAGAAACACATGTCTACCCCCTCAACAAATCCACCATGCCTGAGCTTTATCATACATGTAAAATGGAATAGAAAACCCAAACATTTATTAACTACAGGGGGCGCGCAGGTTTTTCCTATGCACTGTGTCACATTCTAGGTATAAGCACAAGGGAGTGTGGGCATGTTAGTACACGGTTTAATAGACCAGACTGGGGTGCCAAGTGACCGACACAAGTGAATGGTGGCAGAGATCCATCCAAACAGCATCTTATCAGTTATTCAGTGCTCATTCCTGACCTGCTTATAACTGTCCTCTGAATCTCAAGACTAGCTCTTTGGGTGGATATACAGGTTACCAACTGGTGGCAACCACTAGTCCCATTAGACCCGAGGCAACATGAATGATTGTAGCAGCACAGCTTTGGCATATATAGAAATATAAAGAGCAATGATGCCATTGCAAGTCAAGAAACTAGTTCTACTGTGAGCACATCTGCCTAAAGCAAGTCTGTCATGAGTAAAGCCATGCAAACCCATCAATAAAACCAGTTGACTGATCTATCCTGACCCACTAGTTTATACCAGTTACTGACAGATTAGGAAAGCAGAAGCCCATATCTGTATATCAAGTCCAGGTGAGTGAAAGTTGAAGAGATCAGGGCAGCCAGGTGAGGCAAGCAACCACTGCTTCCATGTCTGGAATGACAGGATTCCTTTAGAATACAAGATGCATACTTTACCTTCTGAGATATTTGTGGATCCAGGAAAGGAACTTTCACAACAAAATAAAAGCTTCCATTTGGATGTTGCATTGAGGTTATTGGATAGCCATGACTTATGGCCTGCTCCACAGTCTGTGTGACTCCACCACCAATGGTTATGTTAATCAATTGAATGTCTGGGAGGAATGTTCCAACTGTGATATTGAAGATCAGTGTTGATGGTACGGTATCTGAAGAAAGACATCAGGATTATATTCATAAATACCAACTCAAGTCCCTGTATGTGCAATGCCTTACCATTGGTTATGACAGGAGGCCTTCGCTCGAATGGTGTTGTGATGTCTTTTATAATGGTGTACCTGGTGATGCCCCATCCATCATCTGTCCAGAAGTTTTCAAGGAATGGCTTAATGTTGTACTTTACCCCATGCTCCAGATTCACAACATGGCTCTGGATTGGACAGGTACAAGGCAGTAATTGAGAAATCATAAACAGGTAATAATTCACAACTGAACACATTTTGGATGGAGTGGGAAACAGATGGAACCCTGTGCTTAGAGTAAAAGAATTTAAAGAGCCACCCATGGTAAAAACCTGATTGAGCATCTAAACCTCGAGGATCTGACTTTTCATGCAGTTTCTATACAGGCACCTTCAATACAGTTTACCCCAGAGCTGTAAGGTTTCTCTCAACCGCATACTAAAGGTGTCATTACTTTAAAGTTGCAAGTCTTCCCCCCACCCCATGTCCACTTGCCATTTTTCCTATATGAGCACCTTACCCAAACCAGGTTTTCAAATTTGCGCACAGGAACGTTGGAGACCACTGCCTGATCACCTACAGTTTGCATGCCTAAGGTAAACTGTCGGGTTCCAAATTCTTTAGAACCACTCAGGGTTATAGTAGTTGGACTTCTCGCTTAGGTCTAAACTAAAGCCTTGTTAAGTTACTGCAAATCCCCCCCATGTTTTAGAAGCATACTGCTAGCATTCCATAGACCAGAAAATGTTATGCTATTGAATGCTTTGGTTCACAAGTCTTTAAAATTGTTTAACACCAAATAGCTGCAAAGGGCTCAATATCCTTTTAACTGACTCCATACTACCCAGTATGGCTGGCAATAAAGGCAAAGGGGCAATTGTTACAACTAGGGTCTAACTGGACCCTTACATCCTTTAGCCAGTGCAGAGCCTCCTAATAAGTTAGGATTAGAACTTGGTACTGCAGGTCCTTTTTTCATGGAAGTTTAGAGCCCATTTAGTATATGGAAGGTCTACATTGAGTTCCTTAAAGCTAGCTCTCTTCAACCAAAAATTGTAACACCCGTCTTCATTTTTATAGAGTTTCTATGAAGGGTTTCCAGTGACTAGTACAAACAGCTGTGTATTAAGATACTAGAACACCTAAATTAAACAGAATGCTTGTACATCATGCACCCTTTACCTTATAATAGCCTCCATTGGCACCTATGGGAATTTTCACAGTGATGGCTACAACACTATCAGTGATGGCATAATTGCTAGCAAGTATTTGCTCATTTGTTATATTCAAAAGGTCCAGGCCAAACTGATAGCTACTTTTCTGGACAGCCTTGGCACCTATAAGTAGGGGGAAAATGTTCTTTGGAATAGTCCATGTTATCCAGCCAGGGGTAAACACCACATCATCTGGAAAAAGAATAGTAAAGAAAGGCTCAAGCACAAAGTGTGTCTTATTCTACGCCAAACTCAATACAACATACTGAAGTCAGGTTATTTTACAGAATACAGCTACTGTGCACTGTAACTTATCCAACACTCCCACAAAACACTTGACAACCTAAATATGAATGCCCTTTGGCAGAAAGTGTTCTTTTCTGAAGCTGCTTTAGCGTTATGTAGCCATCTTTAACACCATAAAAAGTGTTAAACTGCAACAATAGATACAAGCTTGCCAAGTTAGCACTGTACACAGTTAAGTCACCCATTTAACTGCAATGATTCTGTCATGGCAGCCAGGGAGGATCAGCGATTAAATATTAATCTCCTATCTAAAGTCAGGACTCCAACAGTGACACTACACTTGCACAGCTCAATTAAAGCTTTTTATATAAAGATTTACATGCGATTAGTTTGATAAAACTAGGCTAAAAAGTTCCTGGAAGCAGAAGTGTTGAGAACTATGGGGTTAGGGCTTTTCCCCATAGTTCTCCTAAGGGTAATGGGAGGACACAAACTAGCATCCTGCGTCACCCAAAGGTCACTATACCGCGAGCTACAGCTTACGGTATAATGATGCTGCAGCTGAAACGGATCCTGACAATTATGTCTGGATCCACCCAGCTGCGTGAGTGACAGATGGCTCTGCCTATCTAGAGGCAGAGCCAGCAGTACCTGCCACCTCCCGTCAGTTCCACCAGTCAGCGCTGGAGGATCGGACAGTGGAGGACCAATGGTAGCCTTAATGCAATTTGAAGATCACCTGTTCAACAGGTCTTCTGGTATGGATCTTTGGCTTGTCACCTTGAGGAAACAGCCAGAAAACAAACCCTTTACATGAGCATTTTACCATAGCAGATTCCCATCTGCAGCTGTTATCATTCTGCCTATAATGCATGCCACCTTTCACTAGTACAGTATATCCAAAGCGAGAAGATGCTCAGTAATTGCTACAGTGAAGATAGCATACTAAAGTGGACAAATATACAGAAGCATCACAACTTCATCCTTTCCTGCAGAACCCCCATAACACCCAACGTGAAGACTAAATCACTGACAACTTGGGAACCAATGGTGTAGCTAAAACTTCTTAAAAGTGCATGTTACTCACCAACTGGGCAAGATGCAGCATTATCAATCAAGTAAATAAACCATCTCTGCTTGTAAAACAGTGTAGCTCGTATAGTTGAATATGTCACACCGTCAACCTGAAACATAGGTAAAGATTTAACTACTGGAAAGCCAGAGCAGCCAGCCCAATTAGTCCTGCATAGCACGTTATAAGATGTTAGGTTAGAAGGTAACCCATGCAAGAGCTTTTAAGGCAGTTATGATAAACAGGCTACCCATCTGGGCAGTCATGGGATATTTGAAGGGAAGCAAACATTGAGGCTTAACTCTAGGAAAACCGCTATAGGAGTTCTTTGTTGCCCTTCTGTGTGGGGACGGACTAAATTGGTAAACCAAAGTGAACATGTGCACAAATCTAGTTACTCTAGCAGTAAAATCCTTAAAGTTGAACTCCTGTCAAGTTACCACCCCCCTTCCCTTTTAACCCCTATAATCACCATGACCTTACTCTTTCAACCAGGCAGTATCAGGCACTCCAAGGACTGAACATTCAATAATATGCAAGCGCAGCTCACTCCTGGAGATCTGTGAGGCTGCATGATGCACCCCATAGGGAACATGTCAACAGGCTGGGCTCACAGGAAATGGGCAGTGTCATTCCCCCCTAGAGTGGAAAAAAGTTGCCACAATGCTAGAGCATTGAGATTTGTAAGCGTGGATTTGAGAAGGAAAAAAAAAAAAAGTTCACTTTAAGACAAGCCATTTGTTACCTCTACCTGCTTATACCATGAATTACCTCCAAAAGCCTCAAATATCAAAGACTATCTGGGTTTCAGGTAGCTTAACATTTTAGAACCACAATGTGTTTTTACATTAGAGGGCTGGCAGGCCATAAAGATTCTAATTAGAAATATATTTTTAAAAAAAAGCCAAGACTGCGGTGCTGCTGTTGTGAATGTGAAGATAGATTTTGCCAAATGCCTATAGCTACAGGAGGTGAATGAAGGCTTGTGTATAGCATGGGTGCAGGTTCACTTTAGCATAGCATTCTATATAAAGTGATAGGACAGTTCAGTTTCATATGCCTGGAGTAACTCCTAGGTCACCTTTTGAGTGATTGCTTCTGTGGCATTGTAAGGAGATCTCAGCAGTGTCCTGGATTCTGTGGTATTAATGCCATATCCCATTTTCAGCGCAGCATCGATTAGCATGGTTGTTTTCTGAGTAGAAGACTTGTGGAACACAACTTGCCAAATTGACATGAGTCCATCGACAGCCTTTAGGGGGTAGAGGAAAGAAATAGGTTTAAGTTAACAGCATTATACTGCACATTCAGAGCATCATTAGTAGAAATTTGCTACCTAGGCAATGCTTAAGATGCAATCTAGTAGGGAAGGCATACAGCAACCAACTTGCTGACTGAGATTTAATGCCATCATCTCGATCCTTTACTGTCTGACAAGTCACTGACTGGACAGGCATCATGTGACACTTGGCATGCACATATATGTGTCAATGACAGTGTAGTGAAGCCATCACATTACTTCCCAGGCAAATCACAGCTATCCAGGCATCTTGGGACATGCTCAGCTGTTTTATATATGTGAATGTTTAAAATGAGAGCTAGGGAATTCTTTGTATTGTATAGAAGACTAAGTGCAAAGATTGCCACAAAACCAAGGGGGCATTTAAACAAACAGCAGTTTTGGTGGTACGTGTACAATGCCCCTTTTAAGAGACCCAATTCAACGCAAAACATACCGGACCAAAGGCAGACGCCCAATCTTCTGGCTCATTTTTGAACATCCCTTCAGCAATTACTGGGATCTTTCTCCTGACAGACACCTACGAAAGTAAAGATTTTATAAATGAGACAAGATGAACAGCTTTGAAGCCTGTGCAAATAGATCGTTCTAGTATAAATCAAGCACATGGAATTCGAAACCAGTTAGCCTAAATAATTTTTTTTAACCAAAGGGAGGCAAAGAACCTCCTCACAAGCTCAAAGCTCTGTCAGACACATGCAAAGTCTTTAGAAAAATTAAGACATGTGCATTGGTTGGAGTATTCCCATCCAACTTTTCCCCATTGCATTCTCTAAAGGCCAACAACGACTACATGGCCTCTTCATAATGGCAATCCCAAGAGCACAAAACCTAACATCTCCAAAACTTACCAGGTGGTTGGTCTATCAAATACTGTAAAACCAGTTTATGGACCAACTTTAAAAAATAAGGCCAATGTTAGCCAACTTGCATATTTTCCCTCCCTTACAAAACCTAAAAATTGCCAGTACCAAAATGGCTGCCAGTTCAATCCACATTTAGACCTGTTAAGACTTTTTTGCCCCAGTTGCCAAACCTTTAACATTGATTCCTCCACTACAGACACCCATTTCATTCACCCGAGAAACAAACCCAGACATGCAAAAGTTAATCCTAACTCAAAACGCCTTAAGGCTCTTTAGCTAAAGTGTTAACTGTGCTGGCAATGGCACTGTTTGTACATTTTAATAAGTTGAAACAAGGAACTCATTGGTTCCCTCCGCATCTAAAAAATAAAAAAATTGCCTTTGCCACTAATTCATAGCAATAAGTGGTCTTCAACCAATGTTTTATGACATGGGCCATAAAAGCCCCTCTTCCAGACCTTCTATTGCCCATCAGTCAATACATTGCTGAACTAGTGTTTTTTTTTTACCTCCATGTAGTTTGTTTCACACAAGATCTCCCGGGGGCTCCAGTAATAGGGACAGCTCATATTCTTTAGGTAGCTTATAGCACCAACCATATCCGGCCTGGATGAGATCTCGATCATCACTGGCACTGTGAAGTAAGTCTCATTCTGTGGATGGCAAGTTATGGTAACATTTCATGAAATGTGATTTGGTAGTCCGCAACAAACAAATGCATCATGCCTTAGATTAAGGCCTCCAACAGCAGAAGACATTGATAATCTAAAGAGTGGTAAGGAACCAGGTGTTGAGTGCCTACTTTGATGCCACAAAAAGGTGGTTACTGCTTTTAATACCATGAAGGATATGGCCAAAACACAGATCAAGAGCTAGTTTTGGATAGATCACAATAAGCTAGCATGTGGTTCACACAAGGAGCAACTCATTTAATGCCAGCTACCCCAAGTGTGGATAGAGCCACACAACTTACCTGAATCTGAACATAGCAGCTGTAGAGGGAGACTCTGAATGTTATATTACCCCAGCTGTCCTGGGATATTTTATATCCACACTTTGTAGCCAAAGAGTCAGTGATCGTGACTGCTTTTCCATCCTGATCTATGATTGAAACAGCCAATAGAGACAAGTGAAAGGAATGAGAATGGATTCTTAATGCATAACATCAGTCCTAAGATTAAAGCTTTTCACTTTAGACATTTAAGCATGCAATGAACATTTCCCCATATTTAATGCATTTAGAGATACTGCAAATACAGAAACATAAAACATACCCATCTGAGAGAAATGCACTCTTACCCCAAGTCCTGTTGTGGGGCCACAAAAGCCCTGACTAGTGTCTTGGCATACTCCTCTGACCTACCTACTCTATCCCCACAACATATCCCTGGCACTACATTCTGTAGTGCCAGGTCAAGAGAGCCAATTAGTCTCCTTGAGAACATAGGAAGTGAGCACTGGACATTTTCTGACCTGGTCAGATTTTTTGCATTCAAAACAGAACACTTTCATTGGCATCTTTAACAGACCAAAGGGTGCAAATAATGACATTTTTAGGGTTGCCGGGCTGGCAGAATTAGTAAAAAGTATACTGGGCAGACATCAGTGCCCATGATACAGAGTTGCTGAGAGCCATCACAATGTGTCCTGAATGACCTGAAGAACCAGGAAACTATTCCCTTCTCCATGTTGGACCCATTTCTTAAGAGCAATTTATTAAGAGCAACAAGTATTTGAGAAGATTTGACACTTGGCCATCACCCATGGGGACATGGCAATAAAAACCTGACAGATGTTCTACCTTCCAAGACCATAAGCTATGCTAGCATCTTTTATTGTCAATTTAACAATTCTCCTGGCAGATACATTTGATGGTTAGGTTCCATTAACTCATCTTTTTAAGAAATAGCCAAACCTTGAAACTGTCTTTCCTCCATTAAACACTGCTTTTTTTTCAATGCTTACCCGATATAGTGCAAGAGGATTACAAAGACCCTTCTATGTGGGCAAAATTGTGAACACTTGAGTGACACCTTGTTTAGGAGGTCATCTGTGCAGCTGGACCCTCTGCTGTGCTGCACTCAGAACACCCTTTACTTGTCAACTTACCCAGTCAGTGACCAAGGAGAAAGTGAAACAAAGCAGCATGCAACAAAGCAGCATGCATCTTATAGTGAAGGAGCCAACAACTGCCAAGATAACAGTTAACGCTGCAGTGCATTTACAAGTCATCAGATAAGCGTCTGAAATGAACTGCAGAGACTAACTGCCAACATAATTTGTTTTAAAACTGAAGAGAGCATAAGGGCAGTGCCATCTCCCCCATGTTAAGCAATATGGTGATTGCAAGGGGGTGGTATGTGTATTTGGGTAGGGGGGGTGCACATTACAAGGGGAAAGGGGTAAATACCTCTGTTGCTTAGCTCATGGCAACCAGTGAAGCAAGTTAGCTGGGTAGGATGCAGGGCAGAGGGCCACATGTTGCTAAAAGCCCTTGGTGACCTGGGACACTGGCCCATAAAGGGGGCAGCAGTAGGGTTGCCACTCATCCAGGATTCACCTGGACAGTCTGAGTTTTGAGTCCTGTATGTGCTGTGTCCATGTGTCAGGCCAGCTGAAACCCAGACACAAGATGTCACAAAGTCAGTGGACAGGGAAGCCACAGGGTCCTGGTGCTCCTGCTCTTACGCAGCCAGGATTCATGCACAGTACAGGTGTAGACCTCCACTGTGACTGCGCACTGATGACTCATACAACCTTTCCAATCTCTCGATATTCTAAATTTATACACCGAGAGCTAGGATTGTGAGGGCTGTAGGGGGAGCTACTGAGCGTTTCAGATCACCCTTAATGTCACACCATGCCAAAACATGGAACTCAACAAACAAAGTCCTGTCAACCGGCCTGACACTTAGTGCTTTGGCCCATTTACCAAGTTCTACAGTGAATGACCCTGAATCAGGGAACAAGATGTCAGTCTTGACCATGAGGGTCTCCCTTTGCCATCTCCTGTATAGTCACCAAAAAATCTGCCATGCAATGCTAGAGGGTTTGCGTTACGCTTGGAGTGGCACCCCTATGCAG